AGCGCTTCGAAAAGCGAACCGGCCCGCATGGCCGCGCCGTGATTCCAGGCCGGCCTGCGCTACGTAGAGACGGCCCGGCTCAAAACACCCCTAAATAAGTGGGACCAAAAACCCGAAAACACCCCAACACTGTCGCTTTGTGTCCCGCGGCGGATGAAGCAACTACAGTCTGAGGTCTTGCGAGGCCCTCTTTTTACTTAAACTTCATCCACTAATCGCCGCCTAAGCCCACCAGTCACTTACTTGCTCTCACGGCTCCGGTACGCGGGCCGCAGCTCAGGCGCCACCGCGCTTGGCGGTGCGGTTGCCGTGGCGCCTGCGGGTTCGATGGCGCGCGGTTGGCGGGCCGCGTGACTGAACAATGGCGGGCCGGGGTCGTGGCCTTTTATAGTACCCAGAGCTAAGGAAGCCGGGATACCAACTGACACGGTCCCGCCTTCACTATACCCACCTATCCATACTGAGGTCACAGTACAAATTTTAATTTGACCCTATGAATGATTATGAACTAATATTTCCACGCCCAGTTGCACTGCTTCCGGAGCAAGGGGTAACACTTCCACGGGCTGGCCCATGGCGCCATTTCCAGAGCGTGATTAGGGATTCCGCGTGATTGCGATTCCGAGCGATTCAGATACCGCGGCGAAAGGCCGCTAAGTTACCTCTTTGAGTTATAAGGAAAAACCAAGCCGAGTCCTCCTTTAAAGTTTCATGCTTGTTGCCGCCGTGGTGGTGCACACCTGTTATCCCAGCACTCGGGAGGCTGAGGCAGGAGGATTGTTGCGAGTTCAAGACCAGCCTGGGCTACAAAGTGAGCTCAAGGCCAGCCTGAACTGCATAGCGAGACCCTGTCTCAAAAAGACAAAAAGAAAAAAAGGTTTCACGCTTGTGAAAACTTGGCTAACTGAAGCTTGTGCCCCGCTTGAATTGCCCAAACTGCTAATCAGCACCTGCCCTGGAAACGCCTTTTGAGCTAGTGGGCAAGGGCCACAGATGCCCCTAGATAAGAGCAAGGCGGCAATCCAGTATGGCCTAGCAGCACTGAATTAGGAAATTTGTGGCCAGAACAGTCAGATCCCTAGAGACAGAGAAGTTAATTACTTTAGTATTTTGGCGCTCACTCTAAATACCACGAAAAGCAAATGGAAGTCAATGCTTTTTTAGACTCTGCACTTCTCTCCATCAGACACACATACATTTCATAATTTTAAGCATTTGGCCAACACAATACAAATAAATCATCCCTGCATTTGATAGTTTTTTGTGCTAGGCATGGTTTGGTGTTCTTTGTTTTATCTTTTCGGGACAGAGTCTGGCTATGCTCACTTTGTAGCCCAGCTTGGTCTCGAACTCGCAGTGATCCTCCTGCCTCAGCCTCCCGAGTGCTGGGATTAGAGGCATGCTGTTCCACGTGCTTTATGTAGATTTATTCATCTTTATTTTTACAGTGACACTTCAAAAAGCAAGCAAAAAGCTGGGCATGAGGGCATGTATGCCCCTGACGTACCAGCCATTCTGGAAGCTGAGGCCTGGGCAACATGGCAACACCTGTCTCCAAGTAAAAAAGGAGCTAGTTTAGTGCTGTCATTTTAAGATATCACATGACTGGGAAGTATCAAACCTGAGAGTCAAACTTGAACAGTGTTAATGCCAAAACCCCTCAAGCACCAAACTCTGGATGTGTAAAGGTACTCGGAGTTGATAGGGTGCTAGGTAAAAGGAGCTGTTCATTACTACTAATAACCAACTTACAAAAGCCTCCTCCTGCATAAGCCCCCTTCATAAAACTGCCTTGGAGGCTTGGGCAAGGAACCTAAATGTTAGCTATTAAGACACATACGCCTCGGGGCTGGGGATTAGCTCAGCGGCACAGCGCCTGCCTGGCAAGCGCAACGTGGTGAGTTCGATTCCCGGTACGGGGGAAAAAAAAAAAAAGACATATATGCCTCAAACAAGAGTGGGTTAGGATTAGAATAGAATCTTAAAGCGCTTTATGTCTAGCATGGTAGTGCATGCCTGCAATGCCATCACTGTGGGAGGCTAAAATAAGAGAATCCCAAGTTCCAGGCCACTCTCGGCAACTAAATGTCTCAGTAAGACTCTCAAAATAAAAAATAATAAAAGGACCAGGAATGTAGCTCAGTATGAAGGCCCAGGGTTCAATTCCCAGTATCTCAAAAAAAAAAAAAAAAAAAACTAAAAGGCAGTTCAGAGGTTATCGGTATAAGTTTATTCAAAGCAATCCAACAAGTCCTTTAGACTAAAGGAGAAGCCAAAGTAGATGTAAAACAGCAACACAGGCATAGCCAGGTGAGGTGGCGCTCACGTATGATCTGTACTCCAGATGCTGAGGCAGGAGGATTGCCACAAGTTCAAGGCCAGCCTGGGCTACATAGTGAGATCCCACCTCAAAAAAAAAAAAAAAAAAATAGGAAGGCAGGATGCTGGGGCTGGTGGCACACACCTGTAATCCTAGCACTCAGGAGGCTGAGGCAGAATGACCAGTGTGAGTTTGAGGCTAGTCTGCACTACACAGCAAGACTATCTCAAAAAATAACAACAACAAAAAAAAGGCAGGTAAAAACTTATGGTGCTCTACACTAGACACCTTTCTCCTCATGCTTTTAGGAAACCAACACTAATCCACTTTAGGGCGTTGAGAGCACAATGAAGGAAGACATGTTGGAAAGTAAATCACCTGAAATCTTATTGAAAATAAATACATCCTCATATCTCCGAGAAAACTGGTACCCAAATAGCCTATTAAGACTCCTAATGCATTGAAATCTTCCTCTCCCTTGCAGCTGAGTCTAACCACTTTACAAATCAGCAAAAAAAAAAAAAAAAAAAAAAACCTTTGCTCCAAAATACCAAAACGAAGAGTCCACATAAAGAATGAGGCCTTGGGGCTGGGGACTTAGCTCAGCGGCACAGCGCCCACCTGCAAGCGTGAGGTTGTGAGTTCGATTCTCGGTACTGGGGGAAAAAAAAAAATCAAAAAAAAAAATGAGGCCTCAAAAGTAGTAAGTAAATAAATAAAAGGGTAAATAAAGCCACAGGAGTCATAAGCAAAAGAGGAAGAACACGATTTTTTAAAGGGGTCAAAGGCTTTTTTATCTTCATTTTTCTTGAGACCAGGTCTCTGTGCACTTCAGGCTGGCCTCAAACTCACAGCAATCCTCCTGGTCCTCCTGCCTCAGCCTCCGGAGTACATGTATCACCACACCCAGCTTTTTTATCTTAAAGGACCCTATACCAAACCCAGTCCTTCATCAGACTTGGCTGAATAAAGAAAAAAATTCTTGATATTAAACTACGTAGGAAAACCTGTCTCGGTTGTTCCAAACTGTTCAAACGTAGGTTTCACCATGGGATGGCCCCATTATTCCGTCCAGCATTCACGAGAACAGCACATAAAATACATCAGCCATATTAAGGGGAAATCATTCATTTATTGTTTAAAGATTGCAAGACAATATCTGAATTCCTGTAGCACAATTTAAATGTTTTACTTTTTTGATAAAGCAGAGTATAATAGAAAAAAATTAGTTTCCAGTAATGTCTATATCTCTATTCAGAATTAAGTCTTCCACAGACGTATTACCTGGGAATAAAAGCCTATTACAATAAGCGAAGCTTCAACCAGAGCGGCTACTGTTCGTGCCAGGAAGTTCATCCCTATAGGAGGAATGATGTGCTATGTCAGACAGCTGTAAGGCTACAGCCTTGAGGGCATTGGAAGTATAGTACCCTATTTCACAATGAGCAGCTCAGTGAACTTCACATCAGTTTATCGGCAACCATGCTAGCAACCTTAACTGATAGCTCAATCAGATAAAAAATAAACTGAGAAATCCCTTAACTGATGTCTCTTGATTTACATTGTTGAAAGGTACACACGGGTCATTAACATGTAATTCTGAAACAGAATTACATGTAAGACTCTTTACTCAGATTTTGGTTAGCAGTAAGAATCTTTCAGAAATTCAAGTTCTTCATATTTTTCAATAATGTCAGCCAGGATACATTCAGGCAATAGCTCCAACTACAGAATAGGTTCACTGCCTCAGAGCTTTGGAAAGACATTATTATCTAGAACACTACTAGCAGACAAAAAATTATCTGTGACTTGATATCATAAGTGCAGTACAGCAAGACAAACATTTTCATATGTTGGCTTAAGCCTCAAGCCCCTGACCCTTTGTGAAATTTGGTAATTTTATTCCTATGGTTTTTGATACCAAAAACTGAAGCTTCAAGAGGGCTTTATAAAGCTTAATTTGTACTCCATACCAAGTAACAGTGCAGTTCACTATAAATGAGGCTGAATCCATATAGACTTCAAAACCAAGTCCAGAAGACAGCTATTATATAATACCCTAACGAAGTCTGAAAAATAACTAATTTTATACAGAGATGGTCCTTCCGTGATTTTACCTGTAACACGCTTTTCAATGTTACTTAATGTAGTGAATTGAAGATAACTGCAACTTACTGATCAAATATTTGAATATTTATACTTACCTGGGATCATTTCTGCTGAAAGAAATAGGAAGAACAGGACTCACTTTAAAAAAAACAACTTTAGAAAGGAAGGCAAAGTCTTATCACACACTATCATTTGTGGAAGCAGCATAAAAGAGGCAATCAAGGGTAAAACACTGGTGAAAGAGATCGCAATTAAGCAAAAAAAAACCTGTACTAATCGATGACAGTACCACAACTGTGCCCTTCGTAATTAGTAAATCAGTCCTAAAAATTTTCATTTGGCACCAGATGATGTGTTCAAGAGAAACACTCTGGGATGTTTTGAATCAGACATTAATTTTGTTAGCTTAGTTACAGGAGAATTTTTAAAGGGGGTAAGGGCGAGGGTGAGGTTGAGGAGAGAAGGAAATAGGAAATAGACAAGAAAAAATCTTGAGTCATTTTCTAAACCAAAAAACCAGATAGCTTCAAACATCAGATCAAACACTAAAATGACTGATATAGGCTCAAGTGGTTTATAAAACCTATAAAAAGACTACACCAGCAAAGTCCTTAATCTGTCAGGGTTTTGAAACTAAAACAGGGAGCAACATTTTAGCTTAAAACCTGATCTCGGGGGCTGGGGATTTAGCTCAGCGGCAAAAGCGCCTGCCTGGCAAGCGCAAGGTCGTGAGTTCGGTTCCCGGTACCGGAGAAAAACCAAAAAAAAAAAAAAAAAAAAAAAAAAACCTGATCTCAAGAGAATCAAAAAGACTTCACATGGTGATAAAAAATATCTGAAACCAAATATTTTTAAAAGCTCCAAAACCCAAAACATAAAGGGGGGGGACTAATTCAGAAGACTCAATCGATCCATGGAATCACAAGGGCTGGACAATCCATATCTCCCCTCCACACTAACCATCCCATGGAAGACCAAGGGAGATCAGACCTTCCAGACCTGGTTGATGCAAAACTCTGGAGATTCCTTGTGGACCAGCATTTTTCCATCTCTTGTGTTTCTCCTTACTGTGTAGGAAGCAAGTCTGGCTGTGCTATTCTATTATCATGATATATTACCCATCTGCAACATGGTACTGCACAGATAAGTAAGAAGTATGTTATCTAGATCCCTTTCCCCCAGGAGGCTGAGGCTCAGGTATAGGGGTAATTCTCCTGTACATAGTCTTTATTAGGCTGACTCAGTGACTTCAACAGGCTTAATCATGTGGTCAGGTTTGTTGCCAGCTGCATAATGCTCCCACATCTGCAGATAGAGCCGCTCTAGTTCCATTGTATATTGTTTGGTGTTGAACAGAGGGCTAGATATTCTCTGCTTCCAGACTTTGCCACGTATTTTCTTTAGGCTGGGTAATAAAAAAGAGAAGCAAATTTACAAATCAGAGCAGAAACGCACAAGTAGACTCTATTATACTCAGTCACCTTTTGTGGCAAAATACATGACCAAAGTTCACAATATTTTCTTTTCTGATTAGCCAATTACCTCAAGTTGAAAAAGGGAAGGGTCATAGCTAACATAATGCTAATACTATGAAGTATTATAAATCCACATCCTCTGAAAAACTTCAGTTCTTCCCTAAACAAGGAATCTAAAGAGTACCTATGCTCTCTCCATTTCATCCCACTTCTACCATTAAAATAAAATTGAGAATTGGCAATGGTATATGACTACTCCTACGTACTTATCTGTTAGAATGTAAACTGCTTGCCTTTTTGGTAAGCAATTTAGCAATGTATATATTAACAACCTTAAATGTTCATAATTTTTCAACCTATCAACAACACTTTTCAATTTATTGGAAATAAATTACCAGAGATGCAGATGTACATGAACATATAAACACATGAAGATGTTCACTGAAGCATCATTTTCAACAGTTTGGATATATGAAGTACTCAATGTATGAAGTCATTTTTTTTTGCTTCTTGAGACAAGGTCTTGCTATGTAGCTCAGGCTAGCCTTAAATTCATAATCCTCCTGCTTCAGCCTCTTGAGTGCTACGATCACAGGCATGCACCATCAAACCCAACATTAAAGATTTTAATGAAAAAAAAACTTAAGAGGAAAAGAAATATAGAACGTCCAGTGCCATAATTTTCTACTAGGACCAAGTTGAGACCTTTATGTAGATATATAATGAAAGCATTTCTAGTAACACCAAGACCATGGCTCTGTTCAGAAATGGGGGAAGTCCTCTTTCTCGCTCCACCTCTGAGTATATGAAAGAATTATTACTTCAGAATCAGAAATAAGAACACTCCTGTTCATTTCTGAAAATAATAATTAAGAACTTGTTTTAACATTGGCTGTGACATGGGAGGCTGAGGCAGGAGGACCGTTGCGAGTTCGAGACCAGCCTGGGCTACAAAGTGAGCTCAAGGCCGGCCTGAACTGCATAGCAAGACTCTGCCTCAAAAAAAAAAAAAAAAAAAAAAAGGCTGTGACAGAACTAGTAAAATGGTTCTGTATCTCTTCTGGCCTCAATCCAATCATGCTCATAGTAATAGTACTTTCCAAAGAAGACCCTCTATGCTATGTACTTTTTTTTTCAATAGGAGAACTGATAAACTATAATACATCCATGTAATGAAATACTATTCAGCAGTAAAAAGGAATTTGCCAAATGAAAAGAGCCTATTATGGTATATACTATATGGTTCTATGTGTATAAAATTCTAAAGATTTTAGGCAAAACTAATTTATAATTTTTTAAAAATCCAGAAGGTGGGTATGCTGGCACACACCTATAATTCCAACACTTGAGAAGCTGAAGCAGGAGGACTGCTGTGAATTTGAGGCCAGCCTGGGCTACAAAGTGACTTCAAGACCAGCCTGAACTGCATAGCAAAACCCTGGCTCCAAAAAAAAAAATACAGAACAGTAGTTGTCTCTGAGAATTCACAAAAGGGATGAATGGATAAGCAGTATGAAAGAACTGCTGGAGTGATGGCAATGGTCTCTATCTTCGGAGGGGTTTGGGTTACAAAAGTTACTTCTCCAAGCTCACTGAATGGTTAAGATTTTTGTGTTTCACTGTATAATAAATTCTGCCTCAAAAGAAAAAAGTAGCACTGAATTCTAATTAATAATACCAATTATTAAGTATTTAGGGAAAAGTATACTGATCTCTGCCATTTACTTCAAAATTCATCAAATAATGCCAAATGTGGTGGCACACACCTACAATCCCAGTACTCAGGAGGCTGAGGCAGGAAAATCTCAAGTATGAGGCCAGCCTAGGCTACAGAGTTCAAGGCCAGCCTAAACCACACAGCAAGAGCCTCTCAAACAAATGGTGACAAAATTTATCAAGTAAGCAGGACTGCTTGCTGGAAAAAGGAATAAAGACAGACATGTAATATAGCAAGTACAGTAACATGTTAGCAATAGAATCTATTACTAACATTAATCTTAGTAATTATAGTCTTAGTAATAGTGACTGCATCTAAGCAGGGAAGTGTTTATTATGAAATTGAAATTTTCCATAATAAAATGTTAAGAAAAGTATTATATGAATTAAACTAAGTCCCAAGCATCTAGTAAAAATTTGTAATAGACTACACTGTTTAATGCTTTCATCCCTGGGCCAACAGACATGATCCATTAACTTTTTTTAATGCCTGGGATCAAAATTTTCACTTTTCTATGTTCAATAGAGAAAATTCTGAAAATATCAAGTTGCTAACACATTGAATGCTTATGTATGATGTACCAGGCACTGTTCTAAGTTCTTCACGTGGAGTACCTTTTCTAAACCTCTCATCTCTGCAACACAGGTACCATCATTAAGCTCCATTTTTTACGCAAAAACACAAAGCAAATAGACGTAATCTTACCCAAAAGCACAAAGCTTGTAAATGGTACAGCCTGGATTCAGTATGCTTCTCTAGCTTCTATATGCTACTTCTTTAAAAAAAAAAAAAATCACAAAATACCCAGAGAAAAACCTTATGTAAAAGATAAATACTGAGCCAGGCCTGGTGGCACACGCCTGTAATCCTAGCACTCGGGAGGCTGAGGCAAGAGGATCATTGTGAGTTTGAGACCAGCCTGGGCTAAAAGTGAGCTCAAGGCCAGCCCAAACTACATAGCAAGACCCTGTCTCAAAAAAAAAACGATAAATACTACATCCAGGCATGGTGGGACATGACTATAATCCCAGCACTCTGGGAAGCTGAGACAGGAGGATTTCAGGTTTGCCCCAGTCTGGGCAATTTAGCAAGACCTTTTCTCAAAACAAAGTTTTGGGGTGGCATATTAGCTCAGTGTGAAGGTCCTAGGCTTAATCCCCAATGGGAGAGTGGTGGGCGGAGATAAGTACTGTTTCACTGTATGGATGAACCTTCATTTACCTCAACATTACCCCTCCAATTACAACCCATTTTCAGGCAGTCACATGCTTGGATTTTTTATGCTCTAATGAAGAAGCGGCAGTGTAAGGGTCAAAGGTCTGACATTTTTTAAGAATCTGAAAACTTTGAGGAAGGGTTGTACCAATTTACTCACCAATGTATGAAAGAATCGCTGCCTCAATGGTCCCTCATTGATGTATTAAAATCTTATTGTATAGGCAAATAATATTAACATTATTAATAATAATATTAATATTATTTTAATTGGCATTTCTACTACAGAAGCTGAAACTTTTTCTTGTTAATCATTTCAGTGAACTGTCTGGTCATTTCCTTGTTTATGTGCCTATGAGGGGATCTAAAATTTAAACGTTCTTCAAGCCATTAATACTTTGACATATGTAAAAAAGATTCTTTCCCGGTTGTTTGCCTTTTAATTTTCTTGAACTTAATCAACTATTTAATCTTTACATAGTAAAACTTAGTGATTACTTCACTAAAAATCAGTTTTCCCATTCATAGATCATACAACTATTTTAAATAATCTGTTTTATATTACTCTTAACATATGGTTTCATTTTAGAGCAGCTATATTCTAACATAATTTTGTTCATGGAAAGTTTACTTACTATTCTAAATCAGTTCCCAGTTTCACAGCTATGTCTTCATATTCTTGTCTATTTTTTGCAATAAGCTCAAGACAACCTAAGCAAGTGAGCTGAGAAGCTGCAACTCGAGAAGCAAGGGTCTCTCCTGTAATATAAAAGATAACAACTACACATTTGAGAATGTAAATAACACATCATTTTCAACCTTATTTATGTTAAGCAGCCATACAACACAGATGAGAACAAGTGCTCAGATTTCAGATTTGATTAAGTCTCATTTTCCTAGGAGTATATACAATTTCGCTCAAAAGTACCACCCTCAAAAAGGAGACTATGGGGTTTTATTGTTTTGTTTTTGGGTGTTTGTTTGTTTTTTTGGTTTTTGGTTTTTTTTGAGACAGGGTCTTGCTACGCAGTTCAGGCTGGCCTTGAGCTCACCTTGTAGCCCAGGCTGGTCTCGAACGTGCAATGATCCTCCTGCCTCAGCCTCCCTACTGCTGGGATTACAGGTGTTCTGCCATCACAACCAGCTGAGATTTTTGTTTTTTTTGAACAAGAAAGGTACCAATGATTTATCACCAATTTACCTGGCATAGTCACCATCGGTGTTCCTGCCCAGAGGACATCCATCCCTGTAGTGTGACCATTACAGAGTGGAGTGTCCAGGCAGACATCAGCCAGCTGGCCTCTCCTGACATGCTCCTCTTTAGGAGCAACAGGTGAAAAAATGATCCGGTTCTGGGGCAGGCCCATGTTTTGTGCATACTGTTGAATATTAGGTTCTCCTACTGCTGGAAAACGCAACAGCCAGAGCACACTATTGGGAACACGTTTCAGAATCTAAAGAGAAAATAAGAATAATTATTAGTAGCACATCTGGCCTTCTCAACAAAAGTTCCTGCAGGTCTCTAATAATTCTACTGCACTCTATTCTTTCTACCCAGAAAGAAGCCTACTGTGAATGTAAGTTCTTCTTCACACAGATGAATTATCAACTAAATTATTTACTTCTGCTTAGCTGTCCCCAGAGAATATGAGGAAAGACAGGAAAATGTTATTAGAAGACACAAGATAAGCTATTAACTGGCACGATATGAGGCAGCTATATCTTATGGGAATTGATATAGTCCATGTACACTGGTAAAGAGACAAATTTTCCACTTTACTTTTATAGGCTTGCTTTTCTTTTTGTCTTTTTGAGACAGGATCTCACTGTGTAGTTCACACTGGTCTTGAGCTCACTTTGTAGCCCAGGCTGGTCTCAAACTCACAATGATCCTCCTGCCTCAGCCTCCTGAGTGCTGAGATTACAGGTGTGCACCACCACGACTGGCTAGGCTTGCTTTTTGAGACAGTTTCAGTATGTTGACCAGGCTGGCCCTGAACATCCCAGCATTTGGAAGGCGGAGGCAGGAGGATAGCCACAAGTTTAAGGCCAGCCTGGACTATACAGCAAGACTCTGTCTTAAAGAAAAAACACACACATCCATCCAAAGAACAAGTTTGCTGCTGTCTGACTGAAAAAGAACGTATTTAATAGGTAAATAAAAAAGTTTCATAATGTGAAGTTTAGACATTGGAAGATGGCTGGAGGTGTAGCTCAATGACAGCACTTGACTACCATAAGGAAAGCCCTGGGTTCAATCCCCAGCACCAAAAAGGAAAAACAAGACATTGGAAGGAAAAAAAATTTAAAATGACCGAAAAAAATCTATAATCCTTTTGTAGATTAGAAATGAACAAAAAAAATGCCCCCCCAAAGAACACAACGAAAGGACTAAAAAGGGACAGCTTCAGCAAAACAGCCTACATATAAAATCTTTACTAGTCTCTAGATGTTAACAATGAATCTACACATACTCACATTTGCCCACATCTGCAAAGTAGACGGGTCAATTTTATACAACTGATTGAAGTTACAGTATACAATGGCATCTTCTGGTAAACCATACTGAGAACGGGTGGTTACAATAATGGTACGAGGAACCTCCTCTCCAGTGGCAGCTTTGTTGTTGATCTAGAACAAGGAAGAGAATATGATGAATATTATTTAAAGTTTAGATGCTCCAGTATTTCTTTTCTTGCAATGACTGGGTTCAAACCCAGGGACTCATGTATGGCAGGCGAACACTCTACCATTGAGTTACATCCTCAGCCCAGTCCAACACTTATTTTGGGGGGAACTGGGAATCGGACTCAGGACCTCATGCTTCCCAGGCAGGTGCAGTGCCGCTAGTCCAATACTTTTTAATCATTATAGAATTCCCTGAATTATAATGAGAAAATATTTTTGCTACCATAAATTTTTTTTTAAGAAGAAGGAAAATAATTCTAGCTTTTCGAGGGCAGTACTAGGGATTAACCCAGCACCATCACACAGAGCCAAATGCCTAGCCCTTTTAAAACTTTTTTCATTTTCAGACAGGATCCTGGCTAGGTCACTAAACTGCCCACGCCGGGCTTTAACTTGTGTGTCTCCTGCATCAGCCTCCCAGAGTGCTGGCATTACAGGTATGTGCCACCACCCCCAGCTATAGCCATTCCCTGTATACATATATTTCTTTGGGGTTTTGGTGGTTTTTTTTGTGTTGGTGGGAGGTCTTTTTGAGACAGCTCACTTTGTACCCCAGGCTGGCTTCAAACTTGCAACAGTTCTCCTGCCTCAGCCTACTGAGTGCTAGGGTTACAAGTGTGCGCCACCACACCCGGCTGGTTTTTGTGTTCTGGTGATTTCTTGGGTTTTTTTGAGACAGGGTCTCACCACATAGTCCAGGCTTGCCTTGCACTCACTATGGAGCCCAGGCTACCCTTGAACTCGAGGTGATCCTCATGCCTCACCCTTCTGAGTGCTAGCATTACAGGTGCACCACCACAACCAGCTCCCTGTGTATTAATTGGCAAAGCACCACACAAGAGACTTATTACTGGAATAAAAAACTTCTCAAAACCCTATTACCAACTCAACAGTAAACTTTTACTATTTTCTTCATGAATGAAATGCTCTTTTCTAAATCATGCTGATCCTTCAAGGCTAAAATGCAATTAGATTTCCAAGTGGTCTCCTCTCCAAAAACACTCTTTCCATTGACCATCACCATTGCTGAGTTTCTACACACATAATTATAGCTTTATCTTACAAATCCCATATAGCTGAGTACTGCGTTACACTGTTGGGTGTGTATGGACTTTTCAAACAAAACTATTAACTGTAGGGCCAGGGATATACCTCAGAGGCACAAGCGCCTGCCCAGTAAGCTCAAGGTGCTGAGTTCAATTCCCGGTACAAAAAAAAAAAAATTAACTACTATGAAGAATGGGATCCTTGCCTTATAATACTTTCTCGACACAGCTACACAGTCACTTATTCAAGCATCCAATATATACTGAGTACATGCTACATTACTGTGGTTAAGACATGAGCCATGAGGGAGCCAGGGATATAGCTCAGCAGCACAGCACCTTGCTTGGCAAGCGCAAGATCCTAAGTTCAATTCCCAGCACCAAAAAACAAGCAATAGCTAAGACATGAGCTATGGGCCAGGTGTGGTGGTGCACACCTGTAATTCCAGCACTCAGGAGACTGAGGCAGGAGGACCGTTGTGAGTTCAAGACCAGCCTGGGCTACAAAGTGATTGCAAGACCAGTCAGAACTGCATAGTGAGACCCTGTCTCAAAAAGACCAAAAAAAAAGACATGAGCCATGAAGAATTCTATTCACTGAAGGATACAAACACAGGAAACTGGACTGGACTGTGCTAACTATAATGATATACTCCAAATACTACAGTAGCATAGAGGACAGGTACTGATGGAGTAGGGGTGGAGAGACTAGAGATTAGTACAGGAATGAATTCCTGGAGAACTGTCCGAATTGAAAGTCTTGAGTAGGATTTAGCTGGAAAGTATGAGTTTACAAAAGCAAGAAACTGTACGGTGCCTATAGACAGCCCACCATGTAATAAGAATAAAGCCACGGACGGGGAAAACAAGACAGTAACACAGTAAACTCTCACTAAGTAACCTGCCGGGCTGAATTCAGGGGGCTTTTAAAATCAGACAAAAGTGTCTCCACTGAACTCATTTCCTCATCCATAAAATGAGGATAATGATGCTGACCTCAAGAGTTATCATGAGGATTAAAGAAAATAAATGCATGGTTGGTATTACGTATTACACTCTGCTATCCACCTCTCACCTGTGTAGTGGCCAGTCCATTGCTAATACTGAATCCATTAATTGTTATCTGAATCTGTCCTCTGTTAATCATTTCAATAACTGCTTCTGCAATAGTATTCATGGGAATGACAGGCATATTAAGAGCTGTGTTACTGCTATCTGCATTGTCTCCTCCATCAGGACATTTCATCTGGAAAAAAAAAAAAGACAAAATGTATTAATAGGAAAAAGATTCCAAACGCTGTTAACTTTACTTTAATGACAAATACCGGCTAGGTACTAACCTTGACAATTTTCACATCTGGCAGACTATCAAGAAATGCTTTGAGATCGATGCCATTCAGAACTATCCGATTGTCATAAATGTGCCCATTGGACTTAAAATCAATGACTGCTTTTTTCTAATAGGAAAACAGTTCCAGACATATCTTTTAGGATGCATATGGACAAAAAGGAGGAAATAAATGACTGCTACTTTGAAATTCCTCCACTGCACCATCTTCTACCTACCTTTAGGTGAGGGAACATATTAGCATGATCACCAATAAAGAAAGTGTGGGGCATATAAGCCAGTTTTTCAGAATACTGCTCAGCAACTTCAGCTGGTGAAGTTTCCTGATCAGTGATGATATAATCCATAAAAAGCGCACCACTAGTCCCAGGGTATCCCAGCCACATTGCCTTAAAAAAAAAAAAAAAAAAAA